CCAGGCCCAGTCTGTCCAAAGGGTTTTTCACCCTCTGGCAGTTCACCTGAGATGCTGCAGCCTCGGAGTAAAATCAGGAGTAGGGAAGGAAAATGAAAACCAGAGCTGGAGAAAATTCACCACCAATTAATGCTGAACCCTGTGGCCTGTGATCCCTCCTAGGGAGAAGCCACTCAGGGGAACTGAAATCCCTTGATTTCACTTATTCCAAATATGAGACATTCAGGACCATGTTCTCAGCTGCTGTAAATCCAAATTGTGTGATCTCAGAAAAGCTACACTGGAAGAGTAGGGGAGCAGGAAATCAATGTGTTCCTTCAATTAGCAGCTGATCCTTCTGATCTCAGAGCTTACAGGAGCCACTGTCCTGTGATCTCACATGCCCTCTCAGGAAACAGGAAATATTTGATCTGTAATTTTATTTACAGGCTAATTTTGTTTGCTCTCTAAAGGCACAATTTCATATTTGTGAACAATAAAGGAAATATTCAAACATCCTGCACGTGATGCTTTTTCTTCCTAATGGCAGCACAGGCAGGGCCTCCAATGCTAATTCCATAGAAACATCCCAGTAGATCTTCATTCCATGTCTCCACACACACTTTCCCTGAACATTTCATGCTGCAGGAGGAAGAGTCATCATTCCACATTCTAAGCAGACAGTGAACTTGAAACATCACTGTGGGAAGGTCTGCAGTGGCTGTCAGTCCCCAGGGCATCAAGACCTTACAGAAATCATGGAATAGTTTGGGTTGGAAGAGACTTGAAGATCACTCAGTGCCATCCCTGCCACAGCCAGGGACACCTTCCACTATCCCAGGTTGCTCCAAGCCCTGTCCAACCCAGCCTTGGACACTTCCAGGGATGGGGCAGCCACAGCTTCCCTGGGCAACCTGTGCCAGGGCCTCTCCAACATGTGACTGAAGTTCTCTCTTGAGGTCAGAGGAGATGAGGGAGTCAGGGAATGATGCCTGGGCAATTCCTGCACGTCCTTTCCAGACACACACAAAACACCAAGAACCAACCTGCCTCAGGCATCAGCACATTTCAGGAACTCCCAGTTCTCCACAAGGATGTGGAGATCTGTGACCCAGAACAAAGCTGGAAACACATCAAGTATCAGGAAAGTTTCCCTCTGTGAGCCAAGAGCAGCTCTGGTATTTGGGATAACTCCTGCCAGAGCTCAAGGAGCATTTGGGCAACACTCTCAGGGACATGGGACAGGGATCCTTGGAGTATTCTGCGCAGGGCCAGGGAGTTGGACTGGATGATCCTTGTGGGTCCTTTTGAACTCAGAATGGTCTGTGATTCTGAAAATGAACTTTAGAAATGCCTCAGGATGCCAAAAAGTAGCCACAGAAGAGCAAGCATTCTCCCCAGCACTGCTTCAGGCACACCAACCATTCCATAGCTCCCAACTATTTCCATTCCTGGGAATAAGGCTGTCCATCCCAGCGGCTGCACAAGCTGGGAGAGGGAAGATTGATGCATCTGGGATGAGAACACCCTGATTAGCACATGAAGGATTTGCAGCTCATTAGTCATTTTGACTCAGACTTGAGCAACCTCATGCTTGTAAAATTCTTAGACATCAAAATAAGAGTATCAGTTACAGAGGAATAGTCAGGGCTGGGCACTCCATTAGGTTTTAGAAAAATCAGAGCCAAATGAAAGGTTTCTATTACAAAGTAAATAGAAGGAATTCTGCCCGCCCTGAAGTCCAGACACACATGGAGTTACCTGCTCCTAACACACCCAGGCAAGAGGCCAAACTGCTGGGGTTTAGTGTCCAAAATGAATTAAAATATGAAAATCAACTAAAGGTTTAAGATAGTTAAAAAAATCATAGAATCTTGGAATGGTTTGGGTTGGAAAGGGCCTTGAAGATCATCCAGTTCCAAGCCCCTGCCATGGGCAGGGACACCTTCCACTAGCCCAGGTTGCTCCAAGTCCTGTTCAACCTGGCCTTGGACACTTCCAGGGATAGAATATCCACAATATTTGGCTGTGGTGAGGTTACTTACAATGGGAACAGGAATCCTGGACTTTTCTTTATGACCAAATACACAAAACACACAGAAAATGAGTCAGATCTGCAAAGTCCTGAGCTCACACTGTATCTCGAACCTCTGAGCACCAAGACAAAAACACAAGGGAAAGTTATGACCCCTCCTGAACACCCCCCAAAACAGCCAAAACCTGTTTACTGAAAAAACTATTTATTTGTTTAACATAAAATATCTAATGTGGACTTCAACCATCCAGGACCAGGAACCAAAGTAGTATTTTACAACAAGCTTGATATACACCAAGTTTTTCAACATTAAAATGTAAATCCAGCTTAGAAACTGTACATTCAGACACAGGAAACATTCAATGCTCTTTCGGCAAGAAGTTTGGAATAACAAATCATTCCATCAAACCTCACTTGGAGAATTCTTTTCCCACGCCAGCTTGGCACGTTCACGTCTTGGACAGTTGGCAAATCTGAATCCCAAAATTCTGTCTGAATTCCAAATGATCTCACTCAACAGTTTGAAATGAAGCAGTTACAGGAATTCCTTCATCGGTGAAAAATACTCACTGTGGAAAACAATCTTTGGAAGCTTGATTTTCTATGTAAATGGTGCTGCCTTATCGACAAAATCGATTTGTGGTTATTTAGAGGTGTTGTGTGTCCACTCAAATGCTCTCAGTTTTACACTGAACAAGCTCAAATGTCCTTCTGTTCTTAATTATATGCAAATATCTGCAAATCCTGAATTTCAGCTCTGTTTCTCCTGCTGAATTCAGAGGATCAGCTGTGGTGGGCTCCTGTCTCCTTCTACTCAGCTCATTCAAAGGCCACAGATATCCCCAGGAGTTCTCCCAGACTTCAGCAAGCTTTGGATCAAGCTTTAGGCATCACTTAAATCAAAGACCCAGCAGGGCCAATCGTGGTATTTATATCATTAAGCACATTTTTAGTGCAGAATTTGTAAAAGGTGAAAAGCAAAAAGGCCTTTAACGGTTGTTTTTTCACACTGTAAATGTCACAGGTTAAAAGTGACCTATTCAGCAGCATCAAAAGTTTGCATTCCCTATAGATCTTTTATGAGAAGTAGTTTATCTGTAGGATCCAGGTGTTCATGAACAGATAAGCTTTCCCTAAAACTCTCTAAAGGCTGTTGCAATTCTTCAAAACTGTTGAATATTGGCCTAAGAACCGAAGTGAAATGTGACCATTAACATGGAAAAGCAGCATTTTAACTAAAGGTAATGAATAACTCCTGGGCAGGGAGGTGGGTTCCTGCAGCCAGGGCTGTCCTGCGCTTGGATTCTGTCACCTCTTACCAGGCTCAGTTCCAGAGGACCCCCGTTTTGGGGAGCTGTTCCACTGGGAACAGCTCAAGGCAATCCCACAAGGAGAGGGGGGCACAGGAGCACCTGGGAGAGTGACCCAACCCCAGCCTGGCAGAAGGGGGTGAACACAAAGGAGTTGTGGGTGTTGCCAGTGCCATGAGAGCCCTTCTGTTCACTGGGATCAGCTGGAGCCTGAGCTCAAAGGACAGGGGGACAGCAGGGACAGAGAGAACCAACCCCTCTGGAGCAGACAGCAGGTTCTGTTTCAATACCCACAGCTGATCCAGGGATCCCAGAGATCCCTTGGGAGCTGAATTCATTTCTGTGTCACAGGGAAAAGCCAACTTTGCCTGTTTACACCAACCACTCGTGGAATCTTCCACTCAGCCACCAGTGGGAACTGGATGGACCCTCCGGTGTCTTGGCAAACTGTGGCTGTTCCCAGAGAACACACCCACACACACAACACCAACAACCTCTTTGGCCTTTTTCCTCAGCCTGAGTTTCCTCAGGGTTTTTAAGGAATTATCCACTTCCGTTTTCCCTCCAGTCTCTGAGCAATGAGCTTGACACGTGGTGGAGCATCACACAGTGCAGGGAGACCCCCAGTGACAGTTGAGCCCAACAGTGTTCACTTGTACTGTCCCCAAACACGGGCTCAGTGACCTGTTCCTGCCTCCAGGAACAGGACCTGTTTCCCAGGATACCTAAAATATTCAACTGTGCAAAAATGTGCTGCACGCTTACCTGTGTTTATGTGAGACACCTGATCAGACAGACTATGAAAACATATCCCAGGACAAGCACAGAGTCCATCTCACTCACATTTGGTTGTGTTCCATAATTTGGAATCCTGAAAATACGCTGGGACCTGGAGGAGGCACATCTCAGATCCTCACACATTCCCATAGGCTCTGCAATGGGATTTCCTGCCCAGTAACAGGTTTCTGAGCTTGTCCTCACCTGAACTCCATGACATTCCCTGACAAGAGTGGGACCATCACCTCGAGGAGCTGCACCTGAGGGAGGGATGTTCCTCATCCAGGGGTCTTTGCAGTTTGGCTCTTCCTGTGACTTTTGTTCCTTTTATGTCACAATTCCAGCTACATTCCTTTGTCACCAGTCAATGTACAATCAGCAGCTCTGGAAAAGTCCTGCCCAGCTGTCAGGAGGCCAACTTTTGCTGGCAGACACTTGGAAGCAGCTGCATCCCAACAGCAGCTCTTCCAGCTCAGGTTCTGGCTACACTGTGGGAAGGTGCTCAGGTAGATGGAGCAGGGACACACCTGGATCCATGGACAGAACCACAGCAGTGAGAACCTCCCCACACCAAGCAAGACAGAGAGCTCAAGGTTTTTAAGAATGTCAGAGAACTCAAATTCTGCTCCAAATCATGAGGATTTAAAAGCTGGGCCTGATGATGTTGGAGGTCTTTTCCAACCTTAATGATTCCATGATTTACATTTGTGATATAAGGTTTCAGCTCTGCAGTAAATACCATCCTCAGTGCTCCAACTACCTGCCGGGATGGCAGAAACATTCAGAAATTCATTTCCAAGCAATCCTTCCCTGTTAAATCTCCAGGAACAGAACCCACAAACAGGGGAACTGCAAAGCTTGGTTTGCTGGAACCACATTTTGCTGTGTTTTTGATGGCTAAAAGTGCAAGGCAGGCATGTAATTCCTAATGTAGTGTATGGAACCCACCCTGTGCTGGGCCAGGGACACAATAAATATCAACCTCTTGTTTTTAGGCTCGAGAGTTCAGTATTTAGTTACAGCTGATGCTGGGCTGCAGTCACTTGGTGATTTGCTTGGCACGGGACGTTTGAAGCTGAGGAGCTGACCATGCAAGCACGACAGACAAACACTCTTCCTGCTAAACTCCAGAGGATGTCTGGATTAAATCCCTCTCCATATAGATGGAAAGTTTCTATGAGTGTGAGCAAAGAGCAGCAGAGACACAATTTGCTGAGGTTCACCCCCAGATTCCTGCAGTTTGACACGTGACGTTGGCAGTGACGAGGCTCAGCTTTCGATGCTTCAGGCTCGGAGGTTTTGTGAGAAATCTTGCTCCAGTCATTCATTCTTTCCACGTGCCATCACTCCTGCGATTCCTCTGGGGAGTGAGATCCTCTCCCCACCATCTCCTGGCCCCATTCCTTGTGGCTGGACTCCTGGAGGCCACGGCCCTTCGTCTCGATGGGTAGGAAGCAGGAGGCCAGGGCAGCCAGGAGGCAGCAGCCACTGTAAACCACCAGGGTCAGGTACACTGAGGATTCCAACATCACCTGCAGGAAACAGGCAGGAAAGGAGCACAGGACCTCAGCAGGGAAAGAAATGGATATCGGGAAGGAATTTTTCTGTGAGGGTGGTGGGACTCTGGTACAGGTTGGCCAGAACAGCTGTGGCTGCCCCATCCCTGGGAGTGTTCAAGGCCAGGTTGGACAGGGCTTGGAGCAACCTGGTCTGGTGGAAAGAAAAGCAGGTTCTCTGTGACCTTCACAGAATTATGGAATTGTTTCAAGTTGGAAAAGGCCTCCCAGATCATTGAGTCCAACCTTCCTCCAGCCTCAGAGGAAAAGGGGTTTTACCTGTGCAATGAAGGGGGTTATGAGGGCTCCCACTCTTGCCATTCCACTGCATGTTCCCAGGCCCAAAGCACGTGTGGCTGTGGGATAAACCTGGGGAGAAAACATCAGCCCATTAATGCCAGTGGGAAGTTCTCTTCCTTTCACTCCTAAACCAATGGAAATGAATAAGTGGTGCCACATCAGGTTCTATTAGACAATGACAATGAGATCTACAACTCAAATCTTGGCTGGAGTCTGTTGTGAACAGGTCATCAAAATTACTTTCCCCTCCAGGTTCTCACTCCCTTTAAATATTCTCATCACAAAAGCAACTCCCTTACCTCAGGAGTGTAAACATAAGCAGCCTGAAATCCTCCTGAAATAAAGGCTCTTGCAATGAAGAGCAGCACAGTCAGAACATTCCTGGGAGAACAAAGAGGAGAGCAGAGTTTGGGACTGTTTGGTACAATCTGCTGGGGGTTCACTTAGAGATAAGTGCAATAAAGATGCTAAATTTATTAGAACCATTTCTTTTGGCTTTTTTAATGAACCACTTGCATTTTTTCTGCCCCTTTAATACAACAATGATGCCAAACAATCTGCATCTCCACAATTCCATGAGTTTTTCAAGTTTCTAACTGAGACCTGGGGCCTACTGAAATAAAAGTGACATCCATGAGAAGGAAATGAGAGTTCACCTTTCCTGTTTAAAAGACATGAGCCCAATTACCACCTGGATATATGCAATTTTATAAGGTTTCTTATTACAAGACTTCTGCACTATGAGGTTTTGGACAGTGCCTGAAAAGGGTTTAAATTCAGATCTGATTTAAAAGTGCCCAATGGCTACATCCTACCCAGACTTAAACTCTTATTTTCTCCTTTGGATTGCTCTGTCCACAAGATTATAATAAAGGATTTCTTCTCTTCTGCTTCCTTTAGTTTCCTTCCATACTCTGGTGAGAAAACCCAAACCCAGCCTTAATCCTTTCTCCAGCTGAGCACAACCATCCCATGGCTTTTCAAACCACCGCTTCCAGTTCTCCTGCCTCAGTCAAGAGAGAACATGGATCAAATTGATATTCCAGGTGTTCCCTGTGTTGTACCCACCTTCCAACACAGAGGAACAGCAGGAGGCTGCAAAAAGAGAAGACAAGGAAGGACAGGGCCATGGTTTTCTTGCGGCCGATCCGGTCGATGATCCAGAGTGTCACCAACACCCCTGTGGAAGAGACCAGGGGAGAGTTGGGAACTGAGCAAAGGGGGAGGATGGAGCTGTTTTTAATGGTCTAGGTTGTTCAGATTTGAGATTTTGGTCTCTTTCTCAAATACTTTGCTGCTGTAGGAGTGAACAATCCACTCTGCCATCCCTCAGCCACTGATTGATCCAGTGATTCCTCAGGTGAAAGCCAGAAATGCCTGGCTATGGCTCACTGGAGTAACTTCTGACCATTGTTCCCTGCTCATCTTCCCATTGCTGCATTTAAGGGTTCTTTAGAACTTGGTATTTTCTTTCCATTCTGTTATTTAGATGGCATTAGGCCAGTCAGACCAGTTCCACTGCTGGTCCCAGAGCCCCCTCCCATCACCCCAAGCAGGGAAGAACTGGTGCTTCCCATGGCCACTTACCAGGGAATTCTGAGAGGGTTGTCCAGAGCAGGTCTGTGTAATCCTCTTCTGTCAGATACTCACAGGTCAGGCTGCACTTTGCTTTAACTTCTTGCCTTCTGCTGGATACTGGGGGAGGAAAAAAAAAAAATCAAATATTTCATGTGTTTTAAGTAAACTCTTCTCTGTTTACATTCCTGATGTGTGTTTATCACTCTGACTGCTGAAATACAGGAAGGGCTGCACAGAAAGGACCGGCATTGATTCACTGTACCCATCACACTTTAAAAATACTTCTGGAAATTCATTTTTGGATAGAAATTCAAGTGATTCTGCCCCTTGGATTTAATTGTTTTTCCTCCTCTGAATGCCTAATGTGTTGCTTGGGTGGAATCCACAGTCAGAGGGGCCTTTCCAGAGCAATTCCAGGTGATTTTACCTGGAAGGCAGAGCTGACACTGAGCAGTTTATAATGTTTTCTGTGGTAGGTTTCACACCCCTCTCACAATGAAAACTTGTACCTCCTTATCACCTGCACAGCCTTAGTTATTTTTTACCCCAGGGTTCAGGACAGTGAACAGAATTAACCTCAGAAATTCAGTTTCTCCCCACATAAACTGGGATACCAACAATTCCTATGCCTGAGAACACTGAATAATCCCATGCCCTTGTAAAGCCCAGTGTTTTCAGGGGCTGCATCCTCCTTTGGGGAGGAAACCAGAGTTATACCCCTCAAATCCCTGATCACTGCTGTTCAACCCTGGGATCTGGGTCTGCTCTCAACACTCTCCCTCCTCTTTCTGTAATTTTCCAACTTCCAGGCAGTTTTCCCTAATTACAAGTGTTCTGAACACAGTCATCCCTTCCCTGGGGAACCAGACTTTTCAAGCTTCTTCTTAGCACTGTCAAAGCACTTTTTTTTTTCTCCTCCAAAAGTCTGCAACAAAAAAGACGATGATTTCCCCCCATTATCTTTTTTTCTCAGCAGGTTTTGCCATCTGGAGAACCCAGGAGCTCCACAGCAGCAGTTTCTCCCTCTCAGAACTAATTAGCTCTGTCAAATCTGCAAACTTATATTTATTCAACCACTTTTTTTCCTCAAGAACAGATAACAGGTCTCCCTTGAAGGTTGTCTTGCTGTTTTACATTTTGAGTTCAAACCCACTGCAGGATCTCTCTGCCCTGTGCAGGAGATGAGGAACAGCCCATAAAAATGTTTAAAATAAACTTAAAACTCAACCACATTCCTTCCCAAACCAATAGCAGAAGGTGATCTTATAAAAGATATTCCACCAACTTTAACAGGGTATATTTAAGAAGAAAATATGGGTTAGTACTCACTGCTGCAAACATCTCCTGCTTGGAAGAACTCTGTAGTTAATAAAACTAACCCATAATATGAAAAGGCATTGGAAAACCTGCAAGGAAGCAAATGAGAGAGGAATTCTCAGCTGGTCAAACTGAGATTAAACAACATGGATCAAAACTGAACCCACTGTGGGAGGAGATGCACTAAGTGCTACCTCAAAGCTATTTCCTACCAGCAATTAAAGAGCAATTTAAGTGAGGATGAGGGTGATTGGGTGATTTAATGAATCACAAATCAATACGTGTTGGGGTTTTGGGTTTGGTTGGGTTTTTTTTATTATTTTGAGGAGGAGGAAGTTGCTGTATTTGAGTAACACTGTAAAATACCTTCAATAAAAAGCACTTATAATTGTGCTGGCACCAAAGCTCTGATTTCCCTCTTACCATATGAACCAGAGTAACAACGTGGTCCATCTGAAATGGGGGGTGAAAAGGTCTTTCATTTTTCCTCGGTCTTCCTGTTGAAAACGAGCAGAAATCAGATGATCAGGGAACTCAGGGGTCCTGGGCTACAGGATGCAGAGTGGCAAGGACCCCAAACTCCCAGAAGGGGTTGGGTTGGAAGGGACCTTGAAAATCACCTAGTCCCTGCCAAAGACAGCTAAAGTGTCAAACTCCAGCTGAGGCATTAAAATCAAACAGAACATTGATTATTTGCTAATAAACCACACATGACCTTGGCACAGTTCCACTGTATCCTACACTATTAAGGTGCCTGGACTTACCTGTCTGGAAATGACCAGTTTTCCCAGAGGCATTGGAGCTCCATTTTCTGTTGCTATCCTCTTCAAAGTGGCAAGTGCTTTCTCCTGGTTCCCAGACAACACATCATACCTGGCACTCTCTGGCAGCCACTGAGGGAGCAAAGCAGGTCACACACACAGGGATGTCACAAACAGCACGAAACATGCTGGGATTTTCCTGGGGGGATATCCCAGTGACTCATGCACAAGGAAGGATTACAGAACTAATCTTTAAGAATTCAGAAAATCACGTCATCAGGCTTTAGAAATGGCAAACCCCCATTTTTCCCACAAACTCAGAACTCCAGAAGTCTTTCCCTTCCGTTCCCTTGGGTTTATACTTGAGAAATGTTTGGTGTTTTTTCAGGTTCTTTATATTAGCCCTTCCCTGTAGGAACGGCAAAGCAACCAGGGCAAAAAACACTCCAAATTTCATATTTTTAAGCTCCTTTTAATTTCAAACAAGGTCGTGAGCACCAGTATAAGTGGAGGGATTCCTGAAAAACTAAGGAATAATAAAAGCTGCTAAACCACCTGGCAAGGACATTTATCTATGAGGAGACTAAGTGATTGGCAAATACATCACCAAAGCTCAGGGTTAACTCATATACATCTTATTTTGGAATCTGACCTGGACTCTGCAGATTTTTCCCCTGATTTGAGTGAATTTTTAAGTGGAAAGTGATTCTAAAATCTAAAGGGCATCTGGGAAGTATCAGCCACTGTGATGGTTTTAGTCTAGGCCTTCCTGGTGACCAGTTTATAACCAAGGAAATAGCCAGGTACAGCCAATTGTATACCATACAATTTTTACGTAAACCAGAGTATAAATAAGTCGGAGATTAAAGACCTCACTCTCTTCTCTTCCGGCGAGGTCTGGGAACAGTGGGTCCCTGCGTTGGTCTCGCTTATCTAAGGCTGAGGCCTGCAGAGTCCGCTGTCCTACCACGTGGAAGTTTGGAGAGTGCTGGCTGTGACTGCCGATCCTACTGTTCTAAAGGACGTGGTAAAATCTGTTTTGTTAATTATTAGTATAGTTTAATCTAGTATACCTGTTCGGTGTCCCTTTTATTCCCTTTTGTCCCCTTTTTCCCTTTCCCTATCCCTGCGGGGGGTGGACCCCCCTTTTCTGTGTATATAGCATCTTAACTGTATATAACTGTAATTTGCGTAAATATAGATATATTTTTATATAAGCAGCTTGACTGTGGATTCTTTAATTTTTATAGTTTCTTTCTCCTTTAACCTAAGGGAAGAAAGGAGGGGGGGGAAGGGGGCTGCTGTCCTAGCTTTCGGACATTTGGCAGGGAGCCAGGTCCAAACCGTCACAGCCACTTTTGATAAAATGTTGATTCCCCTGAGCTGGGTTGAAACAGTCATTAAACTGGAGAGGGTTCCAGGCCTGATTTCCCAAAATTCCAGCCCACCATTGTCCTCCAGCAACTACAGATACACAAACACAGCTCTCCCTGGAATGGTTTTAGCAGCACCCCATGGAAGCAGCATTTTTGTGTTACTGCAGATATTTCACAGAAGACACCAACAGAGAGCTCAAAGCTGTCATGATTCCCTTCAGCTGGGTCACAGAATGGGGTGGAGAAGTGGGAATTGAGGGAACACATATTAATCCTCAGAGGAAATACCTACAAAGCACAGGCCAGCGAAGAGCAGGAGTGGGAGGGCAGAGAGGATGAGGAGCCAACGCCAGCCCAGCGTGGGCATCACCAGCACCGCCAGGAGCACCTCAAACACAGTCCCAAGGGCCCAGAACACCTGGGGAAGGGAAAACAAACAGTCACAATCACTTCCATCCCTGGAAGAAGTGATGCAGCCAAGTAACAGTTCTGGCCCTGACCCTCCAGCCATCCATCAAAGGGCTGTGAATTTTGCCTTAAAATATTCATAGGGTGAAATTCCACTCTCTGTGACTTTGACACATTTGGATGAAGACGTGGAACTGAATTTAGCCCTGGATTTATAGATCAGTCATTCCTCCAAGTCCATTACTGAGCTGTAGATGAATTTCACCATGGAATTATAGACACTCAGTGCCCCCACTGTGCTCAGAGCAGTCAGTCTGCATCCCTAGATGGAAGTTAATTTGCAAAAAGGCAAATTCAACACAAAGAGTGGAGTGTGACACGGAAGCTTTCTGCACATTTGGATCTGAGCTGGTACCAGATAGCTCAGCTCCACCCTGACGTGGACAGGCAAGGTCTTATTGCAGCTCGGGGGGGGGGATTTCCAGGCAGGAGGGTGGAAGGGATGTAACAAACAGCAGGATTTGTCCCTTCAAGGATCAGCACACACTGCTCACCTCTATTAATAAAATGCACTTTGCTCTGGCTTTCATTGGAAGGAACTCAGCATATAAAGTTACCCTGCAAAGAGAGAACAGAGAGAAAATGTCATGTTAGCACAGTGAGAAAAATGCCACATCAGCACAAAGACAGAAGTTCAGACATTCCCTTTGGCTTTTAATTAAATTGCCAAACCCAGAGGAGTAACTCAAACCCCTTCCTGTCCCCCAGAGCCAGCCAGGCTGACACTGGGGCAGACTCCCCTTTCTACATGAGAACCAACCCTTCACCATTGCAAGAGAGGACACATTTTGCTATTCTCATGTGATTGGTGACCCCATAGTTGTTGCCTAAATGATGTTTTCACAGCCCTGCTCTGGGTCAGGCCTTGTATTTGTTATTTCCAGTGTGGTCCATCACAATCCAACACAAACTCTTGCTGGGGAAAGTTTTTCTTCAGGGCTTTACAACTGGTTCAGAGAATTTCACATCAGTCTCCTCTGCCAGGGTTCAGTTCTCCCCCTCAGAGGGGGAGACTTTCAAGGTCTGATCATGTTACTGGTATAAAATAATTTGCATTCCTTTATTGTGGGATTCCAAAAGAAATCACTGAGCTCTGCAGAGGCTTTGTTCCATGACTGTGCCAAAGGGAGATGGCACAGTTTCTCTGGGAGTGTTTCCTGGGGATGAAGGCAGGGCCAGCAGCCAGCTGAGGCTCCCTCATCTTCTTCAAACTGTCTGCTCAGGCTTGTCTCTGCTGCTTTGCATTCCATCGACTCAGCCTGTTCCTGCCTCTAAACTCCTCAGGCTTCCCAGGAGGTTTGTGACAAAATTCCTACTAACCTAAGGAACAGTAGATTGATTTATGAGGAGCTGCCCAGGAACCAAAGTACAAAGTCATGGAAGTACAAAGTTACACAGCATTATATCAAAGCAGGGATTTAGAGAAGGAAAATCACATCTTCGAACACAGGAGCTGATAAGTGACCACAACGTAAGGACATGGAATTGTTGGAGCAAGTCCAGGGGAGGCCACGAGGCTGGTAAGGAGACTGGAGCACCTTCCCTGTGGAGATAGGCTGGGAGAGCTGGGGCTGTTCAGCCTGGAGAAGAGAGGGTTGTGTGGAGACCTCAGAGCACCTTCCAGTGTCTGAAGGGGCTCCAGGAGAGCTGGAGAGGGACTGTTCATCAGGAACTGCAGTGACAGGACAAAGGGGAATGGGTTCAGACTGACAGATGGGAAATTTAGGTGAGATATACAGAGGAAATTCTTCCCTGTGAGGGTGGTGAGGCCCTGGCACAGGTTGCCCAGAGAAGCTGTGGCTGCCCCATCCCTGAAAGTGTCCAAGGCCAGGTTGGGCAGGGCTTGGAGCAACCTGGGATAGTGGAAGGTGTCTCTGCCCATGGCAAGGGGTGGGACTGGATGAGCTTTAAGATCCCTTCCAACCCAAACCCTTCTATTCTATAATGCTGTACAGAACTGTTTTCCTAAGAGAATACTCCACATCCCTGAACACTCCACACCCTTGTAGTTCTGGATGTTGGCTCTGTGGATGAAGTTTCATATTCAGCATTAGACAGCATGTCACAGAAAATCTCAGAGGAGGCCAGAGCTTCAGGTGCAGCTCTCTGTCTACACATGGACAGAGGGACATGCGCCACAGTCAGTTAACAGATTAGTGCTGGAGGTTTTTGTTTTAAAGGCACCTTTCAGAACAATCTCTCTCTCATAGCCATTAGAGAAGATGCAATTACAAAGATATTCCACTGAGATTCAGCCACTCACCTCTGGAGTTACACAGCCTGCTTAAGGGTATTAGGAGCTATTTTTCCTACTTTGTGAAGAAGTCAATGAGCCATCAATCAAAGTTAGACTCTGACTACTCCCAAATAGCACCTCCACAAGGCAAAATATCAATTATTGATAAGGATGAAAGGCTGCACAGAGAGAGAGAATGGCTGAACTCTTCTCTTTACATTCATAATTAAAAGCCTAGAGCAGAGTCAGTTATTCCAGGTGGGAGATTTATGGATCCCTCACTTCAGTGAATGGAATGACACAGTGACAGAAAAATATCCTTTTTCCTCTGAGCCATCACAGCACCCTCAGTGCTCCAGGTTTGGGATGAGTGGGTTTGGAATTCCAGCTCAGGTTGAGACATGGAAGTTTAGGCTCTGGCTGAACAATAATCCGTGGTTTTAGACCCAGCAGTCAGGGCTCAGCTCTGCCTCTGAATGCTGCTGTTTAGGTCCTGACCTGTCTTGCAACAAGACCAAGGTTTGGGTCAGCTGAACAGAAACAACTCTTCAACTGGACATAAACATTTTATAAAAAATTAATAGAAAAGAGGAATTTGGACTTGTGAATATTTACTTACGACTGAGGCACTCCTCCAATCCCGAATCCCACCAGGCCCCTCAGCACCAGGATCCAGCTGTACACGGGAGCAAACCCACTGAGGATCCCGTAGTAGAGTGTCCACAACACGCTGATCTTCAGGCCCTACATTGAACAGAAGCCAAAAAAGAGGTTCTGCTGTAACACAAATTAACCAAGTACAAAACAGAACTAAAAATTCCCCTTATTTCATGGGAGGTCAGTTCTGGATATGCTTAGTTCTGCTTTGTGCCTGCGGACTCTGACATTTGTGACCACGAAATTCCAGAATGGGTTGGGTTGGAAGGGACCTTAAAGATCATCTCGTTCTACCCCCTGCCATGGGCAGGGACATCTTCCACTAGCACAGGTTGCTCCAAGCCCTGTCCATCCTGGCCTTGAACACTTCCAGGGATGGGGCAGCCACAGCTTCTCTGGGCAACCTGTGCCAGAACCATCATGCACGGAAACATCCCCACTGCAGAAATATTGGGATAAATTCCAGTAGGAGTTGCAGACTTACAGTTTTTCTCCCATACTGGTCTGAAATGTTTCCCCAGAGGGTGGAGCTGGACATCATTCCCACAAACACCACCTGTAAAACACCAAGAAAGAATTTCCCCCTTAAATACAAGACAAGTGAAAATTTCTGTGTGACAGTGAAGAGAACAAAACTTCCAGGGAAACCAGAAAATTTCAGCTCTAACAACAGAATGACAAACCCAGGAGATCATGGAATGGTTTGAGTTGGAAGGGGCCTTACAGACCATCCAGTTCTCTCTGGGTTGGAGAGAGGAAGCAATAAAGCACCTCTCCAGTCAGTTTTGCCATTAAAATTCCATCCAGTGACAAACCAGTCTGGCACTGGACTGGACACTCTGGTACCCTTGTTTGCTCTCTCACAGCTCCCACTGTGTCTGTGTCCAAGGGAGCTTAAATGTGAGGAGAGAGAAAGATTTTCAAGTAAGACAATCGAAATTTGCCAATCTTTATTTTCAATTAATCTAATGGTTTGAATTTTAGGATGAGTCTGAGTCAACTCATGAAACTTTGAGCATGAAACTTCCCCAGTTCTCACAGAGTTAACATGACTTCTTTAAAAAAAAACCTCTCTAATCTTCCAAGCCAAAGGCAATCTGCAAAGGTCATGCAGAGATTTATCTTGGGAATATAAAGCATAATGTCAGGATAACACTGAGAGGAAAAGCCTCAGGGAACACAGGAGCTGTGAGTTGTTTTCCTACCGAGGTGAGCAGAGCCACCTGCCAGCTGGGCAATCGCCACTCACAGTGGAGCTGGGGAGCCAGGATGCTTAAAATCATCATTTCCATGGCATCTGCCATCTGCAGGGGGAAAAGAGAGCAAAATAAATCCCTGCCTGACAGTTAGAAGGACATAGGAGTCAATAAATACACCTTGTTGGAATTTCTGTGCCATTCCCACTCCATGGTGGAGCAAACACAGCAACAGGTTCCCTTTTAAACTCGTTCCTGGTTGTTGTGATCAGTCACTCTGGCACAGAGGATTCAAAGAGCCAAATGCAAAGCTATTGGGGAGTGATTCCAAGGAGTCCTAACCCAGTCCTAACCCTAACCCAGTCCTAACCCTAACCCAGGCTCAGTCACTTCCACAGTGCAGATTCCAGGGATGAGCTTTCAGCTCCTTCACACACAGATTCAGTCAGAACAGTTTATTACCTTTTAACTTATTCCCTCTCTCCCTTATACCTAGATTTGTATCAAATATGTTGGTAGACCATCCATAGGCCAAATTCCACAGCTGATTTAGGATCTAAACCGTGGCACATTCCAGCCTTATACACGGATCTGAAACAGCATTTGAAGTGGAGAATCAATCTGATTTTTCAAACCGATTTATAAGAATTTCAGAGACAAAGAAATCCATCAGTTGTTCATTACCCCCAAATAACAAGTTTGACTCCTTAGAATTCCTTGTTTTAGAATTTCAAGCAAAATTCCTTCTTTGCTGTACATTTATATGTTTGGAAACTCTCTATCTCCGTGATTTGAAATCCCCTGAGGTTCTCTGGTGACCGTGCAATTGGTGCTGATCCCAATTACTTGCCCAGGCTAATCCAGTGATGACAGAGAGCTTCCACTGGAACTTCCCAAATCCAATGGCTTCCACCGCATCTTCCACCATGAAAGTATCTGGAAAGAAAACAATTCCAGTGCAGGGGTGGATTCCTCCCCTAGTGAAAGCCATCCCTTGGGAGGGCATTTGCTGTGAGTACAACTCCTAATTAACCAGGTAGTCTGTTGAGATCTCAAATACGTAACTCAGCTGCTTAGTTTTAATACAGTTCCTACTCAGGAAAATCCCTGTGTTCTTCAGGAATGGTGCTAAAATCAAAATAATTCTAATTATTACTGGAATATTTCAATCTCATAGAGGTAAATCAATGTGGTACCAACAAATCCAGCACGTGTTCAGCCTCTCACTCCTGGAGTGACTCCTCCAGCCACTGAATTGCAGCTTCCTCTGGGGAGAAATAGCCCCCAGCAATGCTGGGAGCTGCAGGGAATGTTTTATTGTAGGGAGAGTCAACCTGGAATTATTTAAATCAGGAATTTGCCCAAGACACAGGTATCTTAAAACCTATTTCTATTCAGAATGCTGAGGGTTGTTTCCCACACAGTGCCATGACCTCATTACTTTGTTCCAGCTGAAGATGCTGAGATATCTCAAATTCCTTTGCTCAAGTGCAAAAAAAATGAACTGAACAAGAAAATCACATTTTGATATTTGAGCTGTTCAAGTCTCACTGTTGTAACACTTCCAGCAGTTTAAAAAGGACATTCCCCACAGAAAAGCTCTGTCTGGCTCAGAGCTGCCCATCCTCACTCAGCAGAGCCCAAACCCACAAACCAAGAGGAAATCAAACAAAATCCAGTGGATAAAACAGAGCAGAGATGTTCATAAATAGGATTAATAACATCCTACCAAATTTGCACCTGCCTTGTGTAAGACAAAGCCAGTATTTCCCATCTCTCCCAAACCAGTGCTGCCTCCAGGCAGGGAGCACAGGCTGGGATGTCCATTCCTCCTGTCCCTCTTGTCCTCTAGGAAAGGAGGAGACGGGAACACTGCAGATTCATCTCTGCCTTGAAGGAGAGCCAGGTGTACCTGCTCCAGCAAACCTGGCAATGTTTTGGGAGCAGGATCAGTTCTAAGGCAACTAAGAAATAGTGGTGACAGCTGGATCCACAACTCCTAAAAGGGTCTGTTACTGGGGATACAAAGCCAAACACATGGAGCAGCCCACAGAGAACGGGGTGATTAACCCAAGATTTCCAGGTGTAACATGTTTTGCCTATGTCATTATTTCCTGCTTTTCTCTGGGGATCTTTCACTTCTCCAAACCCAGAGTATCCACCTTGGTTAGAGGAAGAGGCCACACTTTTCCCCCGGCAGGAAAACCAGCAACCTACTCACCATCAGTGGGGTTGGCAAATTCCTTTGGCACTGCAGCTCCATCCTCCAGCTCCACAGGCTCTAACTCTGTCCTGACCCCCTCAATCTGCACCTCGTGCTCTCCTGAAATTCCATCCTCATCCGACCTGGAGCTTTCCCCGGTGCGGCGGAACTTCACCACCCTGAAACCAGGAACAGGGATTAACACTCCCATGGGTTATTCCAGGAGCTGGGCTTGGTTAGGCTGGGACCCTAAAGATCATTTGGTCATCCCCCTGCTATGGGCAGGGACACTTTCCACTAGATGAGAGCTCCATCCAACCTGGCCTTGAACATTCCAGAGATGGAGGAGCCACTGCCCGTGCAGGTGCCTCTGGATCCATCCCTTCCCTCCAGGATGTGACCCCATCACAGAGCTCAGTGTCACCTTGCTGAGGGTGCCCCTGATCCAGCTGGAGTTTCTGCATCTTCCCAGCTGTAATTTTGGAGGTGATGGATCTCCACACAGGCAGAGACTGCTCTGAGAATCCCAAATCTGAGCAGAGAACCACCTGCCCTGTTCCTCAGTGCAGCAAATCAAAATATACATTTATCACTCAGGAATATACAAAACAAATGGACACAGACGAAGAAAAAAAACCACCCAGAGATATTTTCTGTTCCAGACTTGCAAAATCTGCCACTGCTGGGAAATCTCAGGGACTGCTGCATTTATTGGCAAGATCTCCCAGCACAAAACACCTGATTATACCTGCACTGGGAGGCACTTTGGAGCATATTCCTGGGTTCTGTTTTTAAAAAATGGGAAAATCAGTCCACTAAAATAATGTCTGATTCCTTTTCCCGACAAGCTGAAGGCATCCTAACTAAGGATCTGGAAATAACTGGAGCTCGTGGCCATTTCCCAACTTATCAGGAGTGTTATGGGACAGTTTGCTCTGTCATTGACACGAGCTCATGAATATTTAACACAAACTTTAAACATTCATTCCCTGCCTTGCAGTGCCAAGGATTTATAAATAGGAATATGTTGCAAAGCACCTGAGAGCGGAGCATGGGGAGAAATGGGGTTGGTTTTGAAGGAAACACTTGGCATTGAGGGAAAGGGAAGGAAACCCCGGGGTGAAAGGCACAACGGTTTTATCACCTTTTTTTTTTTTTTTTTTTTTTTTTTTTTTTTTTTTTTTTTTTTTTTTTTTTTTTTTTTTTTTTTTTTTTTTTTTTTTTTTTTTGTGCTCAGATCCAGCGACCACATACCAAAGGCATAGAGTTCCCGGCAAATATCAGCCTTTTCCTTGTGCAGCAGCGTTTGCCTCTCCAGAACCCCCGGGAATGTCGCTGGTCCCCCCCCAAAAAGCCCCTTTGCAGGGCAGGTTCTGCTCCGCAGTCGCTCCCGGCAGGAGGAGGAGGATGGGGAGGAAGAGCCTCCCCGGCACAGCGTTATTTACAGATAACCCCTCTGCAAAGGCGATTCCCACCTTCCCTCTCCCAAAACCCCGTGGCACTCGCATGGTTTCATCCCACCCCTCCTGATTTTTACCCCCCATGCAAAAGAGAATCCCCCTCAAATCGAGGAAATTTATGTAACGAACGGTTCCTGCATCCCTGGGGATGCTGAGCCCGGGCAGCACAGCGGGAAAATGGCCTGTTTCCCGCGGCCTAAGCGCCTTCCCGGCAGAATTCCCGTAAACCCGGCGGGATTCCCGCTGTCCCCGCGGGCGGAGGGGCAAGACCCCCCCGGTTACTCACGGGAGCTGCCGGAGCTGGAACAAATCCTCCTCCATGGCCGGGCGGGGCGGCTGCGCTCATCGCTCCCGCATGGCGGGGTCGGGATCGGGATGAGCGGGATCGGGATGAGCGGCGGCAGCGGGATGCGGGAACGGCAGGAGCGCCGGGAAAGGCGGGATGGGGCTGGACAGCTCCGACGGGAGCGGCCGGGCCGCGCAGCCGCTCGCTCGCTCGCTGGGCTCGGCTCAGCCGGGCTCAGCTGGGCTCATTTCGGCTCAGCCGAGCACAGCTGGGCTCGGTTTGGCTCGGCTCGGCTCAGCCAGGCATAGCTGCGCTAGGTTTGGCTCGCCTGCGTTGGGCTCAGCTCGGCACAGCACGGCTCGGCTCGGTTTAGGTGGGCAGGGCTTGGCTCAGCTGGGGTTGTTTCGGCTCAGCTCAGCATGGCCCGGCTCGGTTTGGCACGGCTGAGCTCGGCTCAGCATGGTTTGGCTCGGTCAGGTTCGGCTTGGCTGAGCTCAGCGCGGCTCGGCTCGGTTTGGCTCGGCTGGGCTGGACTGTGCTGGGCGCGGGTCGGCTCGGTTTGGCTCGGCTGGGCTGGACTGTGCTGGGCGCGGGTCAGCCCGGCTCGGCTGGGCTTATCTCAGCTGGGATCTGTTGGCTCGGCTGGGCTGACCTGGGTTTACCCTGGCTAAGCTGAGTTTAGCACGGCCCGGTTTGGCTCAGCTCGTCTCAGCTCAGCTGGGCTCGGCCCGGTCACGGCTCCGTGTCCCTGAACAGCCCCGAACGCTCCGTAAAGGGGGTCTCGGGGTCCCGCAGGACCGGGGGTGCTTCGGGATGTTGGCTCGAGCCACGGAATCCCTGCGGGTGGAAACCCCGTGGGATCCAACCCCTCCTCCCCCGTGCCCGTGTCCCCAAGTGCCACCTCCGGGGCTGTCACACCCCCCCGGCCCGAGGTGTTCCCGGACGGCCCGTTCCAGGGGGCTTTTCCCGAGATCCAACTGAACCTCCCCCGGCATCACCGGAGCTTTGGCACCGGGCGATCCCGCCGCTTCCCCGGGGCTCTGAGCCCCCTCCTCGGGGGGCTGCGGGGCCGGGCGGGCCGGAGCCGTGGCCCGGGACACCGGAACGGACTCGGGACACCAGAACAGGCTTGTCACTGTCGGCACCGGTCCGTCACCCCCAGTGCGGACCCGTCACACCCGTGCGGGCCCTCCAGGCCCTGTTTGGGGCCGGTCCGGTCCCCCCTCCCCGCAGTCCCCCCCGGTGCCGCCCGCGCCCCTCCCGCCACCATGGCCGGTGCCCCGCAGTAACCGCTCCCCCCCGCGCCGCTTCCGGCGCCGCCCGCCCGGTCCGCTCCGCGCACCGGTCCCCCCCGGGTCCGCCCACCCGCGCGCCCGCGTTCCGGCGCGGCCATGCTGGGGCTCAGCGCGGACGGGCCGGTGCGGCGGCTGCTGCGGGCGGGGGAGGGGGCCAGGTGTGAGGGGAGGGGACAGCAGGGACGGGGGAGGGCGCCGGGGGTGACAGGAGGGAGCCGGGATACAGAGGAGGGGGCTCGGGGTCGCTGGGGCGAGCTCTCGGCCG